AACCGGGTCCCAATTTATTATGCTGTCACACAAATACAGCAGTGTCAACAATCAATGGGAGTTTAATGTCAAAGTGTTGAAATTAAGACTCTTTTAAACATATTTTTTAAAAATTGAAGCACCTTTTCGATTCCCTTCACATTATAACAATATGCCCTCTGGTTTTGTATCAGATGATACTTTCAGACAGCAGCTTCTATTTTTATCCTGTACAAAGGCTATTTGCTGGTCTTATGACCAGATGATATATAAAAAGCCTGCTGCAACCATCTATAAATAGACAGTCAGTTTCCACCAGGGAATTGCTGTATTAAGTGTGACATTTGAAATAATTTTCTTTCCTTCTTTAAATGCCTGGAACTGGGTCACTAACGAATGTAATTTCAGATCAAAATAACTTTGAAGCAGAAGATGGCAAATTAAAGCATACAGCTGTTCTTTGTGGAAATGTGCCTTGTAACCCTTTATCTACAGCCAGGAAAGAACACAGACTTGTCACTTCAATATGTGTTGTAAAAGTTATTTACTCCGTTTAGCTGGAAATGGCACGTGGCTGGCGTGAAGGTTATGGAGGCAATTTCATAACATGGAAAATTCTCTGGTTCTAAACCTCTTCTTTCCCTCCACTCCACCAGGATAGAGAAACTCTAGTTTCTTGAAATTAGAGATATCCTTTCCCCCAAGATCTAAGGGTTCTTATTAACTGAACCTTTCAATTGAGTGGAGTCCTGTGGCTCAATGGTTAGAGCACTTGCCTCGCAAGCGAGAGACCCGAGTTCGATTCCCGGGAGGGCGAAACGTTGGCCAAGTTTCCTTACTGCACATGCCTCTCTTTACCTAGTAGTAAGTAGGAACCTGGTTGTTAGTTGATTGTCGGATCACTTTTCCAGAGATAATTCCTTCAAAAAAAAATAATAAATAAATAAATTGGTCACTCAATCCACGACTGTTTGTGGGACACTGCTGTGCGCAATTGGCTTCCAGGTTTCACCCACAAAATATACAGTCGATTCACTTTACAGTATAATCTGTGAAGCGCTTTGAGACGTCTCGAAGACGTGCCAAGACGCTATATCAAATAATAATAATCCTTGCACATGATATAGCGCCTTATCGCGTCTTTGTGATCCCCATTTTTGTGATATTCTTTATTTTTTTAAAAATGGCTTCCCCTCCTCACTTCCACCAACTCTGAGAGCACCAATCTTCTTTCTCTATCCTCTGCTCAGTCAAACTCTTAAATTAAGCAAATGCACAAATTATCGGATGACTTTCTTTAATAGCAACATTGCTTTCCTGGTTTTGTTTTGTGTTGTAGTTTATACAACATAATTTGCAATGATTGGAATGGCGTTCAGTATTCTTGAGTGCAGCTCTGAGTGTGCAGAATGCACTTCTTTATTTGGACTCAATTCTGGGCAAGAGCTTGAGGTTTAACTGCAGTTTGCCAGCTCCTAAACACCACATTACAGGCACTCTTGGAATCAACATATTGACATCAGCGTGAACCAGATATTTTTCTCGAACTTCACTGGATGCTGATGCTCTTTATTTTACACAGAAACCATTCAACCCTTTATTGCAACAATAATGATGAAAATAATTCTCTGAACTTGTCTCTGTCCTATATTCATTCCTTAACTGGTCTTTGTACTGTATCCTGTATATAATGTGTGTGGTTCAGACCCACACATTAGTTTGCCCCCAAATGTTTATATTCTTCAGCTGATTCTCTGTGGGTCACTATTGAGATCATATGATAGATAAGTTTATCTAGATAAGGGTGAATCAGTGGATGTGGTCTATTTGGACTTCCAGAAGGCATTCAATAAGGTGCCACATAAAAGGTTAGTCCAAAAAATAGGGGCCCACGGAATTGGGGGGAGCGTATTAACGTGGATTGGGGAATGGTTAACGGGTAGGAAACAAAGAGTAGGGATAAACGGGTCCTTTTCAGATTGGCCTCAGCTATTTACCATCTACATCAATGATCTAGATGAGGACATCAAAGCTGATATATCTAAATTCGTGGATGACACAAAATTAAGAGGAAGTGTCAACACAGAGGATGACATTAAAAAAAATGCAGCATAACATAGACAGGTTAGGTGATTCGGCAGGCAAGTGGCAGATGAAGTATAATGTAGGGAAGTGCGAAGTCATCTACCGAGGTAGCAACAGTAGAGCAAGTTATTTTTTAGAAGGGGAGAGATTGGAATGTGTTAGCGTCCAGAGGGACTTGGGTGTCCTTGTACACCAATCACAGAAAGTTAGTCTGCAGGTGCAGCAGCAATTAGGAAAGCTAACGGTATGTTAGCATTCATTATGAAAGGATTAGAGTATAAGAGTAGGGAAGTCTTGCTGCAACTGTATAGGGCCCTGGTGAGACCTGGAATACTGTGAGCAGTTTTGGTCTCCTTATTTAAGGAAGGATGTACTTTCCTTGGAGGGGGTGCAGCGCAGATTTACTAGGTTAGTACCAGGGATGAAGGGGATAAGTTACGAGGATAGGCTGACCAATTCTCTAGAATATAGAAGAATTAGAGAGGATCTTATAGAAACCTATAAGATCAACAAAGGGCATAATAGAGTAGATAGTGGGAGATTGTTTCCCCTGGTTGGAGAAACTGAAACCAGGGGTCACAACCTTAAAATCAGAGGCCAGCCCTTTCACACTGAGTTGAGGAAGAACTTCTTCACTCAAAGGGTGGTGATGTATGGAACTTGCTACCCCAAAGGGCTGTTGACGCTCAGTTCTTGAACATATTCAAGACCAAGATAGATATATTTATTGCAAAAGGGATTAAGGGATATGGGGATAAGGCAGGGTCAGGTTATTAGCTGGAGTTAGATTAGAAGATCAGCCGTGATTGAATGGCGGGGCAGGCTCGAAGGGCCGAATGGCCTTCTCCTGCTCCTACATGTTATGTTATGTTAATAGGATGCTTCCTTATTAGCTTATTGGGACGTCCTCCTGGCGTGAAAGGCGCTTTATAAATGGAATCTTGTTGTTGTTGTTGTTGTAGCTTGCCCAGAAAATGTTTCAATACTTATACCTCTCTGTTCTCCATATCATATCCATGTTCCTTTAAGTCTTCACCTCCCAGTTTCTCAATCCGACTTTGAGTTATCCTCTCAGAATTCTGGGTCAGTCACTGATTATCAATTCACTTGACAGTATATCTGGTGAAGCGCTTTGGAATTTCAGATCAGACACCAGGAAATAATAAAGTAGGTAAAGGAAAAAATAAAGGAAAAAAAAAGGAGTTTGCCTGTGATGGGAAAACACGAGGGCGAGTAATCTGAAAGAATGAGATCCAATGGACCCAAAGGCCTTCTTCATCCTGATCAATCTTGTGAGCTTTTGTGTGAGGGCTGTTTTGTCAAGAACAGCAGATGGACTTAGACATTCCCTCAATCACAACTACATATTCACACAAAGTTTGCAATCCTGACTTAGCTTATTGGCATTTGTTTTCCCAGTTTTCTGTTTTATAATTTCCTTGACTTGTATCTAGCTTGTAATGTGCTGCAACTGCTGTGTTGGATGTTCTGTATACTACTAACAGCTGCTCGGGTTTAACATTGGAGACTATTATGCTCCGGATGTAACCTTTGTGTAAATCAAATGTAAAGACAGCTGTATTAGGCATCAGCTCGACTCAGAAGGTCACATTCTGACTTCTAAAAATTGTGGGGCAGAAAATTGAGGGTCCAAGTCCCAGACGGGACTTTGAACTCATAGTCTAGGCTGACACTCAGCGCTGTGCTGGGGGAGCCCAATATTTTTCGACATTCACTCCTTCAGATGAATGTGAAAAGTTGCCATAACACTATTCAAAAAGAGAAGGGAGTTTCTCTTCGTATCCTGCTCAACAATCCTCCAGCTTAATAAATCATTCACCTCACACTGAATGTTAGTGTCCAATAAACAGACAAGATTGCTCCTGACTTTGCCTACAAAAAAGTCACTACACTTGACAGTAATTATTGTGAAGCATTTTGAGTTTGTTCAATATTACAGAAGCTATAAAGGTGAAAGTTCTTTTCTCTCCTTTGCGCGATGTGTAAACAGGTGTACAGGTGGCCCTAATTGTATATTTAGTGAAAAGGAATGATTATCGAGTACATATTTAATAAATCATTTTCATTGTTTCGTCCCCCACCACTATTTAGTCTATCAGATGAAAAAAACATGTATGTGCCTGTTAGTTCAAGAATAATCCTTACATTTGTTAAAGCACCTTTCACATATTCAGGTGACAAAAACTTGACAAAAACTTCATGGGTCATGGTTTCATTCAGATATGATGAAAACCAAAGAAAATCAAAGCTTTAAAGGTTTAGTTGCATGGGACGAAGGTGCAAATGTGCCTTTGGTCAAATAACTCAAAAGTGTAAATCACTTGCAAATGATGTTATATTTTGGGCTTCTGTTTTTCAGGGTTTCAAAATTTTATTTGGGGGGGGGGGTTTAATTTTAGCAATTTTTGGAGTTCTAAAAATTGCAGGTTTCACTTACTTGAACTGAGAAGATTCAGACGTGCCTGTGCACACACACATTTGTAAAAGGAGGGAGGCCCTGGGTATGCATAAGGGCACCTCTCGCCACTCTGTGTCAGGTGTGTCTGGTGACCTGTTTGTGAGGAGGCAGGTTCTGCGCATGCGTGAGGAAGCCTCCCTCTCCTTTCTGTGTGCAGAACAGACTGGGTTCCAAAGGCTCCCTCACGCACGCTCAGTGCTTCCCTCCTCTCACAAATGTATGTGTGCGCAAGCACGTCTGAATCTTCTCACACGGAGGGGAAAGCGAGAGTAACATATGTGCAGTTGGCGTAAGGACTGGTAACAATTTGTGGTGTTTTTCCGTTTTTTTATTGGATAAACACTGATTTCGTTTTTCTTGTATCATGATGTTTTATTGGTTTTTATTCGGTAAACAACAAAAATCAGAAGCCCTGTTATATTCTAGTACATGAACTGATCAGCAATAACAACAATACCTGGCTTGTAGATCTTCATCAGAAAGTTGCAGCTCCTGTTTTAGAGCCTGATACCTGTCTGGTCTGAGTAACCTGGAGCCATCGTAAAGTGTCAATTCCCTGTCATGGACTAACCTGTTGAGGAAAACCAATTATTCAGTTTATTCATTTATAAGCAGTTATGTAGATTAATGGTAATAATAATAAGAAGAATATTAAGCCTTGCATTTGATATAGCGCCTTATCACGTCTTAGAGACGTCTCAAAGCGCTTCACACAATACACTGTAAAGTGTATATTTTGTGGCTTACATCCTTCAGCTTGTACATTACGAGCTAAAGGCGAATGTATAAGACCATAAAGGCTAGCAATGGGAATAGTTCACTGCACCCATCTAGCTTGTCTTAGTTGCACCAATTCTCTGAATCTCCAAATAACTATTTTGACGTCTGACTTTGACATTTAAGATTGAATCCACAATGCAACCTTTTGACCCAGATGGGAGAATGACAGCAACTGAGTCAGGCTGGCATGGTGAGAAAGCAGAGAACCATTACCTCTGAAGAACTGATAGGGTTCCAGGGTTAACGCGATGAATGCCATCAAGGACAACGAGTTTTCCTTTTAAGGCAGCAGTAATCAGAGGTGAAGGTCGCCAGGCAGTGTCACCATTGGGAAGTGTGTAGCGCTGCTGCAGCAGATCTCTGGCAGTCATGTCCTGTAACACAACAAGAAGATTCAACGTCAAAACAAACCTCCGGCTACACTGGGTTTGGTTCAATAAACGCATATGTGTAAAAATGTATACATCTTTAACACGACCTTGACAGAGACACAATATTCTCCGAATGGGGGTGTTCTTCGAACCTACGGTAAATACTCCTTTGAACAGGCGAATAAAATGTTTATAATCCTTGCAATTAAACGCAAGGATTATATATTATAAGAAAATGTTTAATTGTACAGTGTTTTAGTTGTACGGTGTAGTTGTACAGCGTATTTAAGTATAACTATTCAAAAGGAACCTCAAAACGACTTCAAGGTTCCTTTAAGAATAGTTATACTTAACTAAATACTTGAGTAAAAAATATTAAAGGGTGCGGTGGGGGGAAAGATCAGGAGAATGGGATTAAAGTAGATAGCTCCAATTAGAGGAGCTGTCACCAGCACAAATACAATACACCAAAAACATTCTATGATTATAGTACATCAAATATATTTCTGACTAATTTTAAGTATAAGTAGTTTTAAATTATTTTCCCTCCTACTTGCGTACAACTCCATGGGACCTGGTCATCTTCTAATAATAATAATCCTTGCATTTAATTTGGTGCCTTATCACATTGTTGAGACGTCTCAAAGAGCTTCACGGATAATTCTGTAAAGTGGACTGACTGTGTGTTTTGTGGGTGATCTTCCATTAATTCACCTAATTGGCAATGATAGCAAATTGAATGGGGGGAGGGGCATGGAAACAGAGTCTGAATCTGTCCTCCCAATCCATGTGGTCATCTCCATGAGAATTTAGAGGATAGCCATCAGCGGCAGGAACCCTGGCTGATTTTCACCTTCCCAACCGAGTCATTGGAGCATAAACTCCAGTTTCCCTGGTATTGCTCTGGCTCAAAACAAGGAATTCAACATAGATCAGGGAACATTTCCAGACAGTAAGGCTGAGCTTTTCAATGAATGAAGTTCACTGAGTCATCAGGAAACCTATCAAGCAACATTGGATGACTATTCCACCTTCTGCAGTGCCCTTAATTTTTACTCAGTTGAATATTGCTCAGATCTGTTTAGAAAAAAAATGGCATCTAATAATAATCCTTACATTTGACATACATAGCACCTTATCATTATCGAGACATCTCAAAGCGCTTCACAGAATATACTGTAAAGTGAACTGACTGTATATTTTGTGGGCAGAATGAGGCAGACAATTGCACACAGCAATGTCCCACAAACAGTCGTGGATTGAGTGACCAAATTATTATTATTGTTTTTTTTTGAAGGGATTATTACCCCTGGAAAAGCAATCTGTCAATCGACTTACAACCGGGTTCCTACTTACTCCTGATAAACAAAGGCGTGTGGAGTAATGAAACTTGCCTAAAGTTTTGCCCTGCCTGGGAATCTAATACGTTACAGGACTCTGGTGTAATTGTAATTCTGACCTATTTAGATCGATTTAGAAAAAAATGACATTCAAGATTGTCAAGGGGGAAAAAAATAACCTTCAAAGCACATCTGGATGCAATAAATGTTAAATTTGATTTGATAGCTTCAAAATCAATTCAGCCTCAGCAAGAGTGTGAAGGGAATGGGGAATTTCAATAATTGAATTTGGTTCTGCTATTTTAAGACTTCTGCTCTTGAATCAAAATTTTAGACTGTAGAGAACAATAATCATTTCTCTGAAACAGAAATCACAGTCTCATATCACAATACATCACTGGTTTCTTTTTCTAACTTGTCTAAGACCAGAATTCTTAAAATAGCAAAAATCAATTATTGAAACTCCCCCATTCCCTTCTCACTCTGGCAGTGCACTAAAAAGATTATCCCTTGGCTCTTACTCACCTGCATTAATTTAGGACAAGAACCTCTCTTTCCTCATGAACTTTACAACAGGGGAGAATAATTATTCAAAGCGTCCATTTTCCCTGGAGGCACTAAACATTCCAAACTATACATCTCCAGTGGATAGGACTCTTGCCTATGAGTCAGAAGGTAATTGGTTCAAGGCTGTGTCAGGACTTTGAGCTCATGTCTAGGCTGACACTCCAGTGATATGCTTGGGGGAAGGGGCTGCATTGACAGAGGTGCCTTCCTTCGGATGATACGTTAAACTGATCCCAACTTCTCTGCCAGAAAAGTGAGTGGAGTTTCTGCTGGTGTTCTGGCTAACAATGCCCCAGATAAAATTGGTCATTCATTGCATGTCTGTTTATGGGACGTTGCTCTGAGCAAATTGCCACTGCATTCGCTTGAAACATATACAACTACTAAACTTTACAGTAAATAAGACATCTTGGGATGTCGCTCTGACGTGAAAGATGCTAAAATATAAATTTGTATTGTGTTATAAATTCAGCAAATGGTTTTGAGATGTTTTCCTGATGTGAAAGATCTTATATCAAATACAATGATTATTAATTTTATTATTATAGATTAAGTTATCCTACTATATGAACATAATCAGCAAAAGAGTGCTAAACATACCTGATTTTAAATGTTTTTCTCGGGTGACTGATNAAAAAATCCCACGTATGGCCCTACCTAAAATCTATTCATGCCATGGATTAGAATGGTTTAAACTTTACATTCAGTTTAGAAAACACTTCAATTTTATATTTAAAAAATTAGTTTGATGTGCATAAAAGCTTACCTGATAGAGCATAATAGGTTCAACGCTGTAACCCAAAAGGTCAGCAAATTCCTTTGCAATCACGGTTTTCCCAAATCCCTGCAAGACAGAATTCATTTGATGGATTTTATTTTAATGAATCAGACAAACGCACTGTAACATTGAGGTATAAAGAAAGCTTTGTTATATTAAAACCCAATAAAACTTCTAGTTACCTTCCCACCAATTAGGCATATGTCCTTCACCATGTGAGACTGCATCATCTCTGCCAGGAGCTGGTCATGGTTGTCTGTCCTAACAAAATCTTGCGAGGTAGTGTGCAACCTCAAAGGTCTTGTTCCGATAGGAACCTGTTCAAAATTGAAATAAGAAATAGTAAGACTTTCTTGTTAATAAAGCAATGGAATAAAAATCTTCATATGTCAACAAAATAAATAACAAAAAAAAAGCTGTTTCAATAAACAGATCTTTACAAATCAAAAATGTCATTATGTTTTCTTCCATCACCCTGGTGTGACATCCATTGAAAGTTACATTGCCAAGGTTTGGCAAATCATTTTACTACACTTTAAAACTTGGTAATTCTGCCAGTAGAAGCTTTTGACCTCTTTTGACCGTTCAGCTACTGGGAGTTGTGACGATGGCCAGTGACCTCTTTTGAGGTCACTGGCCATCGTCACAATTCCCAGTAGCTGAACGGCCGGTATCATCGGGGATTGTTTTTGTGCTTGCAATGAAGTGTAAAGGAATATTTATCTGATAAGGAAAGGAACGTTCAGGAATTTGTTATTATAGTGTCTTATCACATAAAAACATCTCAAATGCTTTAGGGTAATTAACGTTGTGTAATAACTGATTTGTAGACAAACTGCCTGCTACCTAACAGGCACAACTCCAGCTCCACTCTACCATTAGTTAATTAGCTAAAGCAAATCAAGTGGCAACAAGGCAATGATGGCATTAGTTCTGTATACAAGCCAGCGACTTTCAAAATTAAAACATAAGCAGCGCAAAAAGCAATACACAGGTCTCAGGCACTCTAAGCCTCAACTCACCAGCACTCAAATACATGCAGCACTACATCCAGCTAATTCCAGATTCCAAGCTTTATAATCAGGGTCAGGAATACAAAAGCAAGAAAATCCTGCTGAAATGGTATTGAGTGTAGGTAAGACCTCATTTGATTTCAGTATTGGGTGCCTAGCCTCAAGAAGGATAGGTTAACGTTGAAGGGCATCCAGTGACAATTCACCAGATTTTCACTAGGGATGGAGTTCGGCTATGATGAGAGGTTGACTAAACTGCGGTTACATTCTTTAGAACCAAGGAGAATAAGGGGATCCACTGAAGTGCACTGAGGCATGAAAGAGTAAACTGGAATAACGCAATCCAATGCTTTTAGTGAATGTACTGACCAGGAAATCACATTGCCTGGTCCTCAATCAATCAGAGAATCACCCATCACTATCACTGAACTAAGATGACTTTTCAATGTAATTTGCAATATCTGATGTCAATAGATGATCGAGCAATTAAACTTTGGAGTAGGTGAGCCATTAACAACAGCAGCAGCAACAAAATTACATTTGTAGAGCGCCTTTCACATCGGGAGGACGTCCCAAAGCGCTGAACAGTCAGGTGTCGGGGCCCGAGCATGGGGGAGGGGGGTAGTGTAGGGGTAACTAACATAGCAATGTCACATTGCTATCATCAATGTCACATTGCCACCACCGGTCTAACAACCCTCTAATTTGAGGAATAACATGGAGTGACACTGGGTTCGTTTGCGCATTATTAGCCATTAAGTACCAAGGTAATAAAATGTGGGAACCCCGGCCCTGCTCAATAATGAAAAACTAATCAAAACTGCAAATGCAGAGCAATCAACATCCGGCATCCGACAGACATGTTAAGGTTTGCAGCACGACTCTTCTTCATAGGAACAGGAGTAGGCCATTCAGCCCTACGAGCCTGTTCCACCATTTAATTAGATCATGGCTGATCTGTACCTCAACTATTCCTTTCAATTCCAATTTCACACTTGCTCCCCATATCCCTTGATACCCTGACCTGCCAAAAATCTATCAACCTCACTCTTAAACGTGTGGATGGATCCAGCATCCACAGTCTTTTGGGGGAGAGAATTCCAAATTTCTACCATCCTTCGAATGNAAAAATGCTTCCTGATTTCACCCTTTTATGGCCTGATTTCATAATGACTGGAGTTGTATAAAACCAGCTCCGACTGGCAAAAGAAAACAAAGAGACAGATCTTATCTAAGCATAAATCTGGAGATTCAAACAAGACCATCTCCATGAGGACAGGAGCTTATATACATTTAATGCAAGATGTAATCTTGCTTGTTTTTGTGCACTGAACCTCTCTATCGCATCTATGCAGAAAATACACACAAGAGTTAGCACAAATCCCTGAAGCTCTAACCCAGTTACCCAATAGGAAAATATTAACAGCACACAGACAAAATAATAATCCTTACTAATCCTTGCATTTGATATAGTGCCTTATCAGGACTTCGAGACATTTCAAAGCGCTTCACAGAATATACTGTAAAGTGAATCAACTGTATATTTTGTGGGCGATACGCGGCAGCCAATTCCTTCAAAAATAATTTGGTCACACAATCAACGGCTATTTGTGGGATAAACAGCCGTGGATTGAGTGACCAAATTATTTTTGAAGGAATTATTACCCTGGAAAAGTGATCTGCCAATCGACTTAACAACCAAGTTCCTACTTACTGCTAGGTAAACAGAGGCATGTGGAGTAAGGAAACTTGTTTGCCCTGCTGGGAATCAAACCCAGGTCCTCTTGCTTGTGAGGTGAGTGCTCTAACCATTGAGCTGGGCTATGTCCTTAGTGTTATTGATAAGTTCAATAACACAATAGAGGGAAACGATTAAACGGACGTGTTACAAAACAAGATGCATCAAGAACATATGTTGGGATAATTCTATTGTTGTGGGAAGTATATTACCTGAAAGGCCACCTCTTTGCCACTGACTTGGACAGTGACTTGTGCATGTGAAGCTTTGCCTTTTATTGCAGAAACAATTTGAAGAATGCAGGGACTTCTGGATTCCAATAACTCGAATGTCTGAAACAAAAAAAACCATGGTCAGTTTATCTATCAAACAAATCTTTGTATTTCAACGACATGGGTTGAGTACATCTCACTGTAAGTCTCAGTGAGCGAAATTCCCAGGTGAAATATCCAGTCACCAATTAGAACTTACATTATACAGTGATTTTCAGGTAAAAGGAATGTTACCAAACAATTTCTGAAATTAAATGAATTAGAAATGAGATGAATGTTGTTATGGAAGCAAATGCGACAGCCAATTTGCATCAGCATCATCTTGTAAATAATGTGGTGAGAAGCTAATTAGTCAGAAATTGTTTCAGGGTGAATTTGAATGAGGAAGGAATGAACACAAGCCAAGATAAGTGGAAGGAAGAAAAACACAAGACATCCTGCCAGTCTGGCACCTCAGGTCTCCTACCAGCTGAACAGAGAAGGCCATCAGGGTTTCCCACTCTGTGTCTGAGAAGCAAGTGTAAATCCAGTGCAAGTGCAGGCAGGTGCACGATAAGAAATAAGAACTATTTATTTATTATATTATATTTAGAATAATTATATTATTATTAATATTATTATTATATGTGAGTCCCAAACCTGACTTTCACCCCTTTCTAAGCTTTCCCTTCATTCGCTAACTGACAGTGCATCACAATAATAATAATAATACTAACAATCCTTGCATTTGATATAGCGCTTTTCACGTCGGGAGGACGTCCCAAAGCGCTTCACAGAACACAGAACACACTGTAAAGTGAATTGACTGTATATTTGTGGGCGAACGCGGCAGCCAATTGCGCACAGCAATGTCCCACAAACAGTCGTAGATTGAAAATGACCAATTTATTATTGTTTTGGGTTTTGGAGGGATTATTATTAGGCGTGTGGAGTAAAGAAACTTGCCCAAGGTTTCGCCCTCTGCCTGGAATTGAACTCAGGTCTCTCACTTGCAAAGCAATTGCTCTAACCACTGAGCTACAGGACTCCACAAGTTCTCCCAGGAGAGGAGGAGAAAAGATAACCGGAGATAAAAACAAGAGATGATCAGTTCAGTATTTCTAATTTACATCCTTTTCAACCAGCATCATGTTGTACACCACTCTATTTATATCCGGCGTATAAAAGATATGTACAACAGCAACGAGTACGCATTGCTAATGAAGAAATCTCTACTATGAAGGAACGCGTGACCTCCTGTCACTTAACAATTTGTTGCTGGAGGAAATTCATTACCTTGTTACCTCCAGATATGACTGCTCCAATGTATTCCTCACAGCCCTTCCCAGCATTACTATCCATAGGCTCTAGCTCACCCACACTAAACTTCACATGTCCATCACCCCGTCCTCCCCCGGCTCCACTGTCTCCCAGCAGATTGACTTCTGATCCTCACTCTCACCCACAAATTTCCACATGACCTTGTTCCTCTCTGCCTCTATGAGCTTCCTCAGCCTCACTCTCTTGCTTGGCCCCTCTCCTCTCAGTAAACTCAGTCCTGTTATGCATTCCTCACCCTCTCCATCCCATCATCAGTGACCGAGCCTTCAGCCGCTATATCCCCACACTCCGGAACTCCCCCCACATCTCTCCGCTTCCCCCGCTCTAATTGTTTAGAAAAGTCTCCTGGAAACCTACCCCATCAACTGTGCTAATCGCCTCCTTGCTCCCCTTCCCCCATGCTCAGTGTCCAGCAACAGCTCTGTAAAGCGCTTCATAACATTACCTTCCATGAAAACTGTTAAATAAATCCAAGTTGGTATTGTCATCATTGGTGAACGTTGCTGATTCTTGTTGAGTTTTCAGGAACTTTAGCAGTACTATTTGCAAACCATGCTGAATTACATTTGGTTAAGATAAAGCTACCAGTTCCTTTCAATTTTTTTGCTTTTACCAATCTATGCAACTGACCTATTTTTCTCTGAATTAAAGTTTACGGGCTGTAATATTAAATGTTTAACGTACATGAAGTATGCATCGGTGTTTGGTTATTCCATCTTTTCTCCATATCTATACTATACCTTTATTTATCTATCTCCCACTTCCACATCTCAATTTATTCTGCATCTAGGGCGAGTGCTTTGTAAATTTTCAAGTTTGTGCAAGGAAACATTTCTGGATTCACTTTCAGTTGGTTTATCTGCTGATTTTAGCATGTCACTTGCCATTCCCTAATCCACTTTGTCAATTCCCTTTATTATTTTACAGGCATCAATCAGATCACACCTTAACCTCCTTAGTTTTGGAGAATTTAACCAGTTTACCCAGAGCTTTATCGTAGTGAAGTCCCTTTAATCAACGCTGAGACGCCCAAGATTGAACAGATGTAATCCTCACTGTCATTCAAGCTGCGTTGCTGGACTTTTCTGGTAGTCAATGTTTGGCAATGCGGAGGCCAGTAATGAAGGCTCCACTCTTAAGATCACTAACTTACTTTCAGCACGTCCTTCACTCCAGTTCTGCCTTCGTTGCCAAGCATTACATCGAATGGATAAAGTCGCTGGAGTAATTGTTGCGTCGACATCATTGGAAACACATCCTGGTGATACCAGATAATAGCAATTAGGTTTGCAGTTAAGTACATTGTATCCAGAATTAAATCACGAGTGCTGCTAAGTTACTGCTGGCACTTACCAAGATTTTGATGGCAGCTTGGAGGTTATCCACAGGGAACTCGGGCAAGCCAAGAGTTGTTGACTCTTGAGAGCAGAGCGTTGTAGCGAAGGACAACATCTGAGATACTCTGGTGAAGCAATAATCGTTCAGTCAACACCCTGCATAACACTGAAGCAGAAACAACTTTGATGGCCTCATACATGGCCTCCGATTGAAGCGGGGGGAAATTCAAAACAAATCTGCGGAAACACTATTTCAGTGAGTGAGTAGTGAATGTATCCAACAAGCTCCCTGGGGAAACATTGGGAGCAGAAAGTGTTGATTCTTTCAAAAGCAAATTAGATGAGATTTCTTTCAAGAAATAATATCTTGAGATACAGTACAATAACAACTTGCACTTAAAAAGCTCCCTCCACGCTGGGTAGTGTCTCAGAGCGCTTAACAGTGGCAGAGCCTAACTCCAAGCTGGTATATAGTATATATAGTATATAGTTTGGGACATGACATGTGCATGCGACTGCCAGGACGATAAAAACTTTGAGGTCATTATTAAAAAAAGCAAAGGCAGAGATGAGGAATTCTTTTAAAAAAACACAGGATGAATACCGTATTAATAACAGAGATTGCAGGACAATCCATAATGACTCTTAACAGGAATTAGACTAAATATTGAAAAGGAAAAAATGTACAAAGTTGAGGAAGAAGGTTATGGGATGGGTACAGAACAACAACAAAATTACCTGTGTATAGTGCCACGTCGGGAGGACATCCCAAAGGGCTGGACAATCAATGTTTCGGACCTGAGCTGGGGGTCAGGATCGGCGAGGGTGGAGGGAAGGGGGAGAAGGAGGGTGACTCAAGGCACGTTGAAAAGGAGGGTTTTGAGATGGGTCTTGAAGGAGGCAAGGGAGGGGGTGAGGCGGAGGAATGGAGTCCCAGTGGGGGCAGAAGGCCCGCCCTCCAATGGTGGGGTGAGCGAGGTGGGGGGCATGAAGCAGACTGGAGCCTGCTGAATGGAGGGACCAGGTAGGTTGGTAGGAGATTAGGAGGTCGCAGAGGTAGGGGAGAGCAAGGCCATGGAGGGCTTTGAAGGTGAGGACCAGGATCTTGAATTGTATCCTCTGTGTAATAGGAAGCCAGTGGAGTCAGGCGAAGATGGGGTCGCAGAGCCTGGTGCGAGAGAGGACACGGGCTGCAGAGTTCTGGATGATCTGCAGCCTGTGGAGGAGGAATTGGGGAGGCCAACAAGCAGGGAGTTTGCGTATCCGAGCCTGGATGTTATGAATGCATGTGTGAGGATCTTGGTGGCCTGCGGTGTGAGAGAGTGGTGGAGTCGGGTGATGTTGCAGAGGTGGGGGAAGGTAGAGTGGGACGTGGCATGAATGTGGGGTAGAAAGGATAGTTGAGGGTCAAACAAGACGCCAAGGTTCCAGACTGGCTTGCAAGGTTGAGTGCGCAACCATATTTGGTGATGCTGTCAGCGACTAAGGGGTGGACGCAAGACAATCAGGAAAGCCTTGGTCTTGTTGACGTTCAACTGCAGAAAGTTAGCTCTCAGAAACAGAGATTGCAGGACAATCCATAATGGCTCTTAACAGAGATTAGACTAAATATTGAAAAGGAAAAAATATACAAAGTTGAGGAAGAAGGTTACGGGATGGGCACAGGGAGAGGGAATAAGGAGGGGTGGAGTATAAACACCAGCACAAATGCGTGGGCTGAATTGTTTGTTTCAGTGCTGCACAGTTTATGCAATTCTGTGAAAACGATGTAAAGAAAGGGCAAATGAGCAGGACTAAACAGTGATCTCTTATAGAAAAAAAGGTATAGGGACAATTTGAATAGCCTTCTTCTAGTTTAAAATTTTAGGATTCTGGGGAGAGAATCACCCGAGCAATAATTGACTGGTTTGGACAGTTTATCGGTCCTTTTTGTGAGATGCTACAAAATACCTCCATACCTCTCAGCAGGCACATTTGGTCCAATGGCATACAAGAGTGTTAATTGATCCTAATAAAAAAGGGAAGAAAAATATTTTCAGTAATATTAAAGGGTCTATTATAAAAGAAGAGAGCAAAGCAACACTGTCAACGAGCCCGATTTTCTTCTTTCCCCAAACATTCAGATTTTTCTCCTTACCAGGCAATGGCCACCATCCCTCATGGCCTATTCCCATCTGTGAACATGTGGTAAGAGTTGGTGTGTTATTCAACCGTGGGGAGGGGTTTGGTTATCACACTTGAAACCAATCATGTCCAAAAGCACAAACATTTTTTTACAAACTCGCCCACAAGGTATACAGTCAATTCGTTTAATATTCTGTAAAGCGCTCTGATACGTCTCGAAGATGTGATAAGGCACTATATCAAATCCAAGGATTATTATTATTATTTTATGCACCTAGAGCAAAGGTTACTGGACAAGAATCAAGAGAAGAAATTCAAGTCACCTCCCCTTCCTAGCACGAGCACTTTGAAGTCAACCGCAATCTTGTCTTGTGAGTTACTAACACAGACTAGGGATCAAACTAAGTTGCAAGCTGGTCTATATAGCTTGGTTGCCCCACCATTCGCTCATTAGCCATTTAATACCAAACCTTTTACACAAGGCATTAAACAAAACTCAGAAGGAGCAGCATAATTATATGAAGCCTCTCTTCAACCATATGTATGACATTTAAATGTTGAAATAATTAGCTTGCAAAGCATGGGACCCGGTACATAAGAGGTTGAATGTAAATGTCAAATTTGTCATCTGTGTTGCACAAGTTTTGTGAATTTGGCTCAAGCTAAAAGCAAATAACTTGCAATGAATATGATGGAGGATTTGAATGGCTTAGCAAATTGGAGCATGTTGGTCTCAAAATAGATTTCTGAACTTTGAAAACAAGACAGCTTTTATTGATGCAGCAAGTGATGCACATCCACTCCATAACAAAATACACTTTGTTTTAGCAATTAGATGCCATACTTATAGTTGGCGAGGTTTCATGTAAATAAGATGCTCCTTCTCAGTGTTAACCTAAGGCCTGTGTAAAAGTTACTGTATCATATGTACTGCATTTTTAAAAAAAAATTGTTTTTTGATCAAAAAGTAGCAATCATGAAAAATAGCACACTTCATAATTGAGCCACTCACAAATGGCACAGTTAAATCTCAGTGCAGGAATAATCAGCAAATAAATAGATTGAGGTTACCTTAAACGGTAAGTAATAAATGTCTCTGGCTTGGAACCGTGAACGAAGTGGGGGATCCAAAGGATTTCCAGGATACTTTGGAACTGGTAGACCCAACGCGATGACTCTAAAATCTTCACTAACCCTCACGATCTTCATTGCATTCAACTCTTCCTTGGTATGTTCCTATTCAAAGTGCAACAGGTCAATTACAGGGCGCAGAGGGACAGTTTATTACAGGGCGCAGGGGAACAGTTTATTACAAGGCGCAGGGGAACAATGTACAACAGGGAGCAGGGGGGACAGTGTATCACAGGGAGCTGGGGGACGGCAATAGCAGAACAGGAAGGCAGATTTCGCGAGAGAGGATCTAGAGGTAGATTAAATCCTTTCTGGACAATTAATAGGGTTTTTGTCAGACAGGCACTAGGAGCAATAAAAAGCATGTGGTAAAATCATCATTGGAGTAAGGGGAATATTTGGAATAACACCCAAGTTTAACTAACTACTTTGGGTCCAGGCGAGGAGGACTTGAGGAGCGAGAGAAGAAAATTGTGGCAGATGAAGAAAAAGGGGAAAAATAAGTAGCATCATCAAAGCAAATATTCTAGAGTAACATTAAATATGTTTTTAAAAATTGCATGTTACAAGAACCAAATCTGGAAATGAGGAAACAGATTGCTCGCTACAATATGTATTCCTGCGTGTAGTGTACGGGAATATCCATATTATGTTCTACGGAAAATGTGAGGCTGGCATCGGAGAGCACTGTAATGTCCAATTCCAACCAATGGATGGCATTGTGTAGAAACTAATACCTTGTACCATAAACCAAAATTGATTTCAAATGCCTCCTCCCTACCACCCTACTTCTGCGACTTCCTACAATACTACTGCCCCAGCCTCTCCTTCTGTTCAACAAGCACTAGCTCTGCATCATATACCCAGCCCAATCTGCCACTACGTCATTGGAGAGCCTACTGCCATTCTGCCCCCGCTCTCTGCAACTCTATTCCAGAGTCTAACCCCCTTGCTCCCTCCTTCTCTGCCTTCAAAACCTGCCTGAAGAACTATCTTTTTGACCATGCTTTCAGCTACCTTCAATCACACAAACACACACACCCCAGGCTTGAACTTCCAGTTAGCTGCAAGACATCCTTCCGAGGCTCTGTGTAAATGTAAATTGTTGTTGATGGAGTTCAAATTAGTAAATTTATCTAACAATCAGTCACGTAATAAAAGAAAACAAACATCCCCCCAAAAAAGATCAAGAGAGGGGCTGAAGCATTCTGAAAGTACGCGAGTATAACGGATGTCCAAGTTATTGGACTGTCCACAGCAGTTTTGATGTAGAAATTCAAATGGCTGGTTAAAAATAAAAACATCATGACCAGTTACACTTAATGAAGATAACCACAATTCAATTATCTCCAGATAAAACACATAACTGATTCATATGTGAATTCAATTGAACTCAAATGATCAAACACCTCCTCGTGCTGATGGTGATAATTGTTTACTGAATGGCTTTATTCTGACTGAAATGGGACACTCTTATCAGGAAATTGATGGCCACGGATTTTTTGCTTTTTGAAAAATAATTTAGGAAGCTACAGATTAATATTACAATTTTTAATTTTAGCCATTGGAGGGATGTGAGGGAGTGTGTTTTTCTTTGAAAAGAAAGAAGCAAAATATGGTTTACAATAACATGTTCACATTAGCCAGACAGTCTATGGATGCTATGAGTTCGTAAAAAAGGAAGAGTGATTGGATTTACCTTCAGCAGTTTGTCATAACGTTCTGCAGACATTAGAAAACGCCCATCTTCCAGCTGCATTTCCCGGTTTTCCAATAAATTGTTTAGAACAGGTAGAACATTGCGCTCAGCTTTCTCCAAACCCTCTAGGACAAGTATCCTGCCTTCAGTCGCTGCACGAACGGCACACTTGTCAGGAAAAGAAAGAAAAATATAGGAAATGTAACAGCAAATATACAACAGGTTTTTGCACAAGCACAACAGAATCTACCACAAACAATAAAAATCCACATCACAGTCTGGCAGGAGTAGCTTTAGACAGTGTTTGCTGATATAAACAACTTCAGGGGGAAACAGATAAGATTAGTTAATTGGGCAGAAAAATGAGAAATGAAATTTAATGTGGACAAACGTGAGGATATACATTTTGGGAGGATGAAAAGGAAAACAAGTATACGCTGAGCGGTAAAATATTAAAGGGAGTGGATGAGCAAAGGGACTTGGGGATTAATATACATAAATCCTTAAAGGTCTTTAATACTGTCAAAAAGTTAATGGAATCTTGGTTTTTTAATAAATAGAGGTATAAAATATTTTCAGCATCTTGGGACATCCTCCCGATGTGAAAGGCGCTATACAAATGTAATTTCGTTGTTGTTGTAAAAGCAATGAGGTTCTGTAGTACTGTAATGCTAAATTTATATGAATAATTAGTTAAGACCGCTGTTCGAATATTGTGTTCAGTGTTATTCCAATGGATTGGTGTGCGGGGGGTGGGGTGGAGGGGGAGGGGTTTGCAGTGGGATATTGCTTTGGAGTAATTGCAGGTGCCGTCCCCTAAATAAAATTGGTCATTCACTTCATGGCTGTTTGTGGGATATCGCTTTGTGAAAATTGGCTGCGAGTTTGCCTATAAATACAGTCACTCTACTTTACAGGATATCCTATGAAGTGCTTTGAAACATCTTCTCAACGTGAAAAGTGTTATACTAAATGTACGGATTATTATTATCATGAAACAACAGTGGCCATTGACCTTCTGAAAAATGCGAATCCAATTAACATTTAAAGAAGACAATAAAAATCTGGAGACATTTCATGGCTGTTGATGATCCATTGCAATGTGTAAACCGGCTGCCACATTTGCATACAAAATACACAGTAAACACACTCGATAGTAAATTTTGTGCAACATTTTGATGATGTGATGAGGTGCTGTATCAAATGCAAGGTTTCTTATTATCCTAATCCTTCTTCTCCTGCGTTAAAAGTTCTCATTATTTAAAATGAGTAATATTACCGACTATGCATTCGATAAAAGAAATGATGAAGGATAGAAAAATGATCCATTCCACTCAGGGAAGATCTGATGGTAAATCACTATTAGAATAAATTACATAGGTCATAGTTACCTTCTGTTAGTTCCCGTGTTTATTAACTGTCACAACTTTAGCAGAAACGGCGGAATCAATTCTAAACTGGATATTTTCAAGTGAATTATCACTTTATTGACTTCATTGGAGCAGTGATTGTAATGAAACCTGCCCCTTGGCACAATGTGGTGCTCTTGGCTTCCACTGCTTAAAATGAGCAATGTTAGAGCATTATGGTGCTAACGAATACCATTTAGAACATTTCAATTTCACTCATGCCTGGCAGAAAAAAATCTCAGAAATTAACAGATAATCAAACAAATACTACACTAAGTTCTTCACACAAAGTCCAGTCAATTAACACTATGAATCAATGAACTTTAGCATGTGTAAACAGTGTGAGAGGGAACTGATCTATAGCCTACAGAACTGTGTTTTATTGAATGAATTAAACTAAATGGACGACCCTTGCTGATAACTTGACAGGAGAGTTAGCAGTCTGGCCCAATCTTTGACATGATCGGTGTCCACAAATGGCATCATTCAAGGGGTAGTGAACAGGAGGGAGACCGACTTTTTATTCTCTCCTTTCTAAGCAGGGGTCACAGAGAGTGACTGCAGTGTCTCAACATCTAATCCAGAACAGCAGCCATCAGAGATGGAATATCACATAGTACCCTTCAACTATTCGGACCACACAGACTTGGTTAAAGACTCAGGGGAAAAAGGCCAGATGAGTGGTGGACCCTAACTGGAATGTAGGTCTGGAGAAGACTAAATAGTGAGGCAAGCAACACTGAGTATTTTGAAGACCATGAGAAGGATTTTATACCCTGTTCTCTGCGATATAACAAAGCTTGCCGAGGATGGGAATAATGTGTGTGTGTGTGGAGCTTTGTGCAAGAAACTTCTCAAGCAGCAGAGTTCTGGGTCAATAAGAGGTTTTTTTTTCAAAAAATGGAGCTTGGGAGGCCGACAAAGAGGACATTTTAAATTCTCCTCCCAGGGAAGAAGGCTAAGATATGGGTTTAAGCAGCAGTGGGGTAAGGCAAGGACGTAATGGGAAACCTGGAAGGTGTCTGTTTTGGCAATGAACCATATGTGGTTTGAATCAAGTCAGTCAGTCACTGCTCTGTTCTTAAGTAAAGATAACATGGGCAACAGGTCATTTCATTTGAGGCTGGGTATCAACTGTTACACCTTAATTCCCATCCGAGTCATTTTTATACTTGGTGTTATGATTCTATCTCTCAGACAGATAGATATACTGTTACAGCATGCTAGTAGTGAGTGATTAACAAGGCTTACGTACGTCAGAGTCAGATTCTCTTATGTATTTGATGGGGGAACTTTGGATCCACAGGTTTTGTAAATGTTAACTGTAAAGGTCACAGGTTCACAATTGGAATTTAGTACCAAAATATCCTGCTTTTTCCTCCAGTTTTAGCTCTATCCTGTGGAGTACTGCAAGTAAGCACCGGGTGCTATTGTGATCTGATTTAAACTTATCTACTTCGCAGTTTGAAGTACATTGATCTAAGACTCACTTTAGCAAAAATGATTTCCACTGTAGCTTGTTGGTGGAGTAGAATTTCCTTTGACTGTTGGAAAAAAGTTATGTCTTTACTGAAATATAACTTATGGCCCCTCAGTTAGGGAACAATGTGGTAGGTGAGGTTCGCATAGGACAAATGATGTGACATTATGAAGGCTGTCTACACTCTCAAAGGATCATTAAGCCTCCTGGGATTTGCTGTGTGTGTCCCACCAACATCAGTGGCCAAGCCTTTAAATTGTACACCCCCTAACCTTTGGAGCATCCTCCTTCTGCCTCTCTCTCCCTCCCTCTCCCCACCATAAGTTCAGCCATTCGTAACTTGGACATCTTAAATTCTTCCTCATTCGTTCAAACTCTATACGCAGTCAATCACACTAAAGAAACAGCTGGATGAAAGAAACGAGGATTTAACATTAATTAATATATAAAAATAATCCTTGCATTTGATGTAGCACCTTATCACGTCTTCGGGACTTCTCAAAGTGCTTCACAGAACATATTGTGAAGTGAATTGACTGTATATTTTGTGGGCAAAACGCGGCAGCCAATTGCACACAGCAGTATCCAACAAACAGTTATGGATCGAGTGACCACATTTTTTTTTAAATTTATTTTTGTTTTGAAGGTTTTATTGCCCCCAGAAAAGCAATCCGCCAGTCAACAAACAACCGGGTTTCTACTTACTGCTAGGTAAACAGAGGCATGTGGAGTAAGGAAGCTTGCCCAACCTGTCGACCTGCCCGGGAATTGAACCCAGGTCCTCTTGCTTGCGAGGCGAACGCTTTAACCACTAAGCTACAGGACTCCATATTAAGGCCAGCTTTTGGGGCAAAGTAAAACCTAATAACGCTGTCCACACAAACATTCTGTTTTATAAAGCAAATGAATATGTAAATTCAATGAATAAACCAATGAAAACAATTATTTGTGGAAGTAACAGCATGAACTGCTATTGATGACAGAGAGGAAGAACTGAGGTATGATTAAGCTGAACCTAGTGTAGTGTAGGCGAGGAACACTGGCCGACTGTGATGCATTACACATTTCTAAAGGGACAGTCTCTCGAGTGGTTTGATCACAAGAGCCCTCGGCATGTGAGACGAAAAAATGAATGCTGAATTTTCCATTTCATCATTTTTCATTTTTCCAAATAAGCACATAAGTATGAACAATAATGGTACGTCAACTTCTGAGGCTAGAAATTGGTTGTTCAAAACATACGTGCTATATTGGCTATAAGGTCATATTACTTGAAATGTTCACTGGACTTTCATTTAGTATTCATGGAAATTGAAATAGTAAAATGAAATAAATGCAGAGCAAGGCAGGAACTTGCAGGTGCAATTTTGTCTTTGGAAGAATAATTTGCCATTCCCCTTTGAAACATTTCCCTTGATACTTTCTTCTCAGCTCTCCTTTGCTCCTTAATGTCTTTGAATTAAAATCACCAGGACCGATATTGATTTTATTCCTTACCCCACTTACACACACCCACGCACACACACAGAACAAATTGGAAACCCATCATTGTATGCACAAAACATGCTGAGATTAGCACTTCAATTACTGTAACAGCCAGCACACAAGTCACATCATTAGACTCATTTCACTATCTATTTAGATGCAATTTAAGCGTCAACACTCTGGGCAGGTGAACAGTCAGTTCTTGTCACACAACATAAGGGGCTGCCCGGGCTCTCAAAACAGTGCACAGAAGAGCAACAAGAAAGATTGTCAATGTTAAAAGGGTTCAGGAGAAACTAGATAAGACAGACAGAGCTCTTTAGCCTCAAATTAAGACATTACAGCGGTACATATGATACTGAACAGGATAAAGTAAACCATATTTTTGGATTCGCCAAGGCAGCAAGGATTAGAAAGTACGGGTTCAGGATGTGAAGAGCAAGTTTAGAAACAATACCAGGAAGTATGTCTTTACACAGATAGTGGTCAACAGGTGGAACAGATTAACAGAAAGTTGGCTGATGCCAGGTCACTGGATTCATTTATGAAATAGTTTGATGGTATAATGAGAAGACGGGTGGATAGTCTGGAAGGTAAAATCAAATGTGCCAAAGGGCCTTCATAACCTTTTGTGGGCAATCTAATCATAACAGCATTAATAGGCAGAGATTGGACTTTACATGAAGATATTCCTATTCTTGTCGATTCATTAAACATAAATTGCCTGCAGTACTGACAGAATGGTATTTTAAAAATAGTCAACAGAATGTCAGATATCCATGTAAATGTATTTC